CGCCGAACGAGCCTCCTCCGAAAAGAGGCAGGAAGAGGAGGAGAAAGCGGGGGGTCGGCAGACTGGAGAAGAGGACGACGGCAAGGAAGGGCAGTTGAAAACCGACAGCCGCGTGTCCGCTGGATCCAAGGCTAAGACCGAGGACATTTACGCTCGGACTGTAGCCCGGTGGGTGTACTCATAGCCGTGCGTGCCGTAGTCGTTCTACAGGCCACTTTGACCTCGCATTCCTACAAAGCCGGGACGGAGCACGCCGGGTTCTCACCGGACCAGGCTCTCTCCCACAAGGGGTACGGTTCGAAGCAGCCGTTGTTAGTGTGCCCGCGTTCTTCAATGGAGTCGTACGTGAATGCTGGTGTCCCTGAGATTGTTCATTCAACAGTGGAGGGTTGCGCAAATCTCGAGCCCGGTGGGAAGGGAAAGGGACATGTAGTGAAGAACGGCCCCGGAGATGGTAAGCGTCAAAATCTGGTCGACCCCCGATTTCTTATTTCGTCACCACTGTCGACCACAGGTTATTTTACGGATTATGAACAACCTCCTCTGAGCTAAGATTCCTAGCCCTAGTACAATATTTTTCGTGAACACTTGATCCTTAGTCTCTCAACGAGTACTCCAAAACGGCGGGGCTGTTGTGTATCCTCGAGGCGAAACGGAGGGCCTGTAGGCTTCAGAGGCAATGTTGTCCCGCCGCACTCTCGACATTCCCGGAAGGTTGGCACACCCGACTGGCGGGGAGGGGGCACCTTAAAACGGCGTCATTGCCCCCCCCGCCCCCACCTCCGCCCCGAGTTTTTGGATCGTGGGTTTTCTTACAAGAACGAAACATAATGCATCTCTATCGCCGGATATTTCTATCGTCGGATATAGAGTGTTAGATACCTTAGCGTTTCATTCATGTTGCTTGCGTTCGCCTTTCGACGACTTGCGTTGTGTAGAGAGGCTGCTGGGGCGCTGCTCCTGTACCGCGTTGGGTAGACAACGAGGAGAAAGGATTTAGTGTGCCATGTGACCGTCGCTGCTTGGCTTCCTCTGTGCATGTGTGCTGTGTGCCTGCGCGCGTGTGTGCTGTTCTTGTCTTCGTTTTTTTTTTGTGTGTGTGTTGTGCGCATGGTGTGTGATCTCTTCGTTGCGTCTGTGTGTTGTAGCTGTATGTGTGACTCTGTTGTGTTTTGTCGCGTTCGTCGCAGGAGGAAGGCCGTGGCGCTTACATTTCGCATCCTGCAACGCGCGCTGATAAGGACCGCGGTGCTGCTCTTGGCGTTTCAGGTGAAACCCGGCCGCTACAACCCCTCTCCATTTAGCTGTCACGCTGTGTTATGTTGCTCCCGTGGAGTTTCCTAGTGCACGTGTTGGTTTTGTTTTGAACGTCGCATCTTCAGAAACTTTCGTCGCTCTCTCGCTCAGTTCCTTGGCCTACAGTACCTAGTCTGACTCAGTTGGACCTTTGCCGTGTTTTTGTTTTGTTTTTCTGAAGAAATGAAACGTGATGAAAGAGAGAGTGCCTATTGCTCTTATCTGTTCACATGTATCTGTCTTCATACGGCCATGCATGCTTGTTTTTTTTGCGGCAGTACAAGTCGAAGCAGGGAGAACACATTTTGTGCATATCGGGAGCTCGGGAGCCTAGCTGTTGTTGCATCGGGTGAAAGAGGCCGGGCACTCTCTACAGTCCCGCTTCATCTGACTGACTTTATAGACAAAACTGCTGTCGGCTCGGCATGTTTTGTCATTGATTCAAGCGGGAAGTGGTTTGGCATTGAAAAATTCGTTTTTGTTCACCAAAAGGTGTAAGTTGCTCTCGCCTTTTTTTTTGTGGCCAGTATCCGGAACAGTGTCGGTTTCAATTTGGAACACTGTAGGGTTATTCCCATACCAGTATCACGCCCAGAAGGCTATCTCTACACGATTGCTCCGTTTTCTTCCTGCGGCTAGTCGACCCGAGGGGTAACAGAGGAAGGGACAACGGACCCTGAAGAACTGGTAACTCACCGCAGGCCTGAAGGTCGACGGACCTTCCCCCCCCCCCCCCATTGCTGTTGATGATTCTTGAAGTGTTTGCAGGCTTGGACATGTCTCTCTCTCTCTCTTGTTCCTCACTTCTCTGTGAGTGCTTCTTGAGTAAACGCCAACCGCACTAGCCGGCTGACCATTGAAGAAGACGCCAGGTTTAGCGCGGTGAAAAAACGGAAACCTCTTTTGCGGGCCACGTGATCCGGGGCCCTTTGAAGGGGCATATTGGGCCAGGGCAAGCAATTGTTTTGTGTGTTGTACCAGCTTTCCTCGACGACACAATCCCTTCCTCCTTTCGCTTGCTTTCGCCCCCGTTCAGATCATGCCGTGGCTCAAGAACAACCACATCACTCAGTGGCTGCTGCTGGGATCCCTGCTGCTGCAGACGGTGACCGAGCTCGTTGGCGTTGCCCGAAGCGCAGACGCCGCCGGGAAGCAAGGCGAGCCGATCGATACGAGTAGACTCAACCAGATTTCTTGTTTATTTTTCATCGATTTTTTTTCTTGATCCGTTTTTGTCGTCATGGTGAAGAACCGATCATGAGTAGACTCAACCCGCGTCGTTTTTTTGTTCTTGACAGATAATGTTTTTTTTTTCTTCTTTTTTTCGTGATGCGTTTTTGTCGTTGTGACAAACTATACGCAACTACAAACACCTAAAAAGAGTAAGCGACGGAAGGGGGGAGCGTGCTCATGTTTTTTTTGTCCACGCGAGCGCGGAGTGGGCAAGGGGTCACGGATAGAATTGCACCGGCGAGGAGCGAAGGCCTCATGGACGGGAACACGTCGGTAGTGGTAGTGGCGGCAGTGAGGAGTGTGGTAAGGTAACACGGTAATACAAGTGATAACAATATTCATCGTCCATGTCGAACGTAGGAATATCCCTCTCTTTTGATTTGTCATTTGGTAGAGTTCACTTTTGCTTTCTTGGCAACCTTTTCTGTTTCCCATGCATGCAGGCAAGGGCGGCGAGGAAGATAACCCAGCTGCCGGCTCGTCCGGCAAGGGCAAGGGCGAGACGGACAAGTCTATCGCCTCTTTGGGGGTATTCGGAGGGCTAATGAAGGCCTTCACTCCCGAGGACGCTCACAGACAGCACCTCGACTTCCACAGGTTTGTTGATAGGGGTACGGTTTTCGACATGTTGACAAGTGATGCCGTAAGAGCCGGAGAGATGGCACCTCCCCTAGAGCGATTGTCAAAGCCCGATTGCTCCACAACCGAGATTGTTTGTACCGTACCGTATACCATACCGTGGTATTCCGTAAGCGCCGGAGAGATGGCACCTCCCCTAGAGCGACTTTGAAAGCTCTATTGCTCCACAACCGTGATTGTGCCAACACCAAAAGGGTTTCAGGTTTTGGAAACATCTTGTCGAGGACGTTCCCTGGACGTGCCGGGCTCTTTCCGCACCCACTTGGTAATGGGGTAGTCGAGTTTTGAAAGTCGGCCAGGGGGGGGTGCCATCTTTCCGCCTCCTACGGTTCCTCCGGAGTTGCCTCATGAGAGCACAGCAGTGACATCAAGGGGGTGATGAAAGATGAACAGTAATGAAGGCAGCGGGACCTACCTAATCCACAGCGGGCTGCCAGCTGCAGTGTGATCTTGCCCAAGCTCCGCAGCTCACAGATGCTGCTGTGTTTTCGTCTCCAACAGCCCAGCGAACCTCAACGGACCAAGCCAAGAAGAGTCGTTTACGTGTGTATTTGTATACAACCACAGTAGGTAACGCCCGCACTTAAGGACTTGGCAGTTTAGAACTTGATATATTCATGCTCAACGTTAAATCACAACGTACCAAGTTGGGCACCATTTGTGAGCCCGCTTAAGAATTTCTGTACTACAACCTATATTGCGACCATTCGTATGTAGCATGACCCTGGAAGCTATGCCAGGCTCACAACTGTACTATGATAGAGGTTCCTTGGTGCTTACTGTAGCAGTGCGTGAATGAATCACCACAAGACCGCAAATTTCAATATCGTCGAACCAAAAACAAATCCACCTTACTTGTTATTATTCATGTATCCATGTGTTTTTTGGCAATGCAAGTCATTGCTGGGCTCCGTCTAGAATCCAGCAGGAGAGAAATTGCTGTTTTTCTTCGAAACAAGTGGAAGCATGACGCCGTCGCGAACAAAGAGCAGGTGTCGTGCCAGGCATTTCAGGCAATAAGGGCAACCAACGTCCGTAAGAGCTTACATCACAGCTTCTCTCTTCTCTTTTTTTTTCCACATGCGTAGCTCCGGTGTGCCTTCCGTACCTGGTGTAGTCCTCTTGTTTGACAAGCGATTGTTCCGAAAGGTGTACCCGAAACGGTTGTCGGCGGGCGTTTGTTGTCGGGTTGTCCTCGAACGTGGGCCTCGCTTTCCCCACGTCTGTCTCGAGGGCGATCCCCCGCTTGCACACCTGCCGTGACAAACTTTGTCTTCTTCGGGGCGCGTGCCGTGGATAGCATAACGCAAGATACCACACCCCGCGGACTATTTTTTTTTATGACTTGATTGATTTATGTTGCAGAAAGAATGGCGATGACGAAAATGCCGACGTCGGTACCATTTTTTTTTTGTTTCACCTTTCCGACAACTCATCAACTGCGTTTGACACCGCGGCATTGTAGTCGAGCTTTAACTCGGTCAAGGGGACGGGGTATCTTATGATGGTCATGGAAATGACTCTTCGCTCGACAACACTACCTGTCTGAAGTTCTTGTTGTGACGTAGACAACACCGGGTACAGCGCCTGAGACAAATAACTCAAGCCGTACCGCGTTTCCCCCCCCCCCCCCCCCCCCCCCCC